GGGGAGAATTTCACTTCCCCGACCTCTGCACTAACTAGGAATGCATACGACCTTTTAAGTATGACTACTAGGATTTTTAATCTTGGTTACACACCGAGCCTAGTCCTCAATAAATGCTTGAATACCAGGAAAGCCTGGTCCTCATAAACTAGGACATGATTATGGTAGTGTATCTTTCAGAATATTATAATTTGCACTTAAATTGCATGTATATGCTCATATTGTACTCATTGTTCAAACAACTGGATAAGGACGTTAGAGATTAATCATCGCTTGAAAGGCCGGAATTGACTAACATGTTAAGAGCATCTACAATGGTGCTATCTTCGGAGAGACACATGGGATAAACAATAAGGTGGAGGAGAGAGAAATCATAAGAAAATGCTTGTCTTCTCTTATTTAAGAGATGATCTCTTAGCACAATTATGTCTCATCATATTTCTAGAAATTGCTAGTTATTGAAGATAAGACTAAGAGTGTAACACCCAAGATGCAATTCTATCCCAATCACGTGATGAATTCATGATTGGGGCACAACCGCATTTCGAGCGCATAGCAAGGTGGATATCATTACAACATATCATGTACTGAATAGATGAGAATACAAGATAAATGCTTACACTCGCCACAAGCTACAACATGAATACATCAGTTCATCAATACATAGCAATCATCATACAGAAGAGCAGGATCCGATTACGGATGAAACCAAACGAAAAACAAGAATGACATCCACCCTGCTAATCCCAGGCTCCCCCGACCTGGAACCTAACCCTTGATTGAAGAAGCAGAAGAACTCCAAAACAAGCAAGCATCGCTCTCACGTCAAAGCATCACTTTACCTATACCTGCAACTATTGTTGTAGTAATCTGTGAGCCACGAGGACTCAACAATCCCATTACCATCGGTATCAAGACTAGCAAAGCTTAATGGGTAAGGAATAGATACGTGGTGAGGTTGCAGCATCACTAAGCATTGTATGGTGGCTAACTTACGAGTACAAGAGTAAGAAGAGTTACTACACATAACGGTCGCAAACTAATAATGATCAAGAAGTGATCCTGAACTACTTACGTTCAAACATAACCCCACCGTGTTCTCTTGTCGAACTCACTCGAAAAGAGACGGTCACGGTTACACACGTAGTTGGTGTATTTTATTTTGAATATCGTGTCAAGTTCTCTACAACCGGACATTAAAAATTCCCATCTGCCACATAACTGCGGGCACGACTCTCGAAAGTTTAAACCCTGCAGGGGTGTCCCAACTTAGCCCATGAGAAGCTCACGATCCGAGTAGACAATCCTCCATCTTGGGACCCTTCGATCATACTCGGAATCCCGGTGCACAAGACATTTGGACAATGGTAAAACAAGTCCAGCAAGACCTCCCGGCGTGCGAAAACCCTGATAGTAGCCGCGCGTATCTCGTCTAAGGCCATGACCGGATGTGACATCCTATGAGTAAAACCAGATCCTCGGGTTGCCCCGTGGCGGCCCCCAGTCTACCCATTTGGGACCAACACCATCACCACTGCCCCCTGTATTATGTTAAAAGAATCCTCGGGGACAAGACCCCCTATGCCAATTAATTAATTATCAGGTTTATTATGTTGGGAAAATGTTAAAGCCAATGGCGGGCCTTGCTGGAAGAGTTTTATTCAAAGCAAACTATCAAGGGGGGCCCATAAACCCCAACTGTGTTAGGAATGCAAAATCAAGGAACATTACACCGATATGATGGAAAGTAGGGCGGCAAGAGTGGAACAAAAAACCAGGCAAAAGGCCAAGCCTTCCACCCTTTACCAAGTATATATGTGCATTAATAAAATAAGAGATATTGTGATATCCCAAAATATCCATGTCCCAACATGGAACAACCTGCACTGCACCTGCAACTAGCAACGCTATAAGAGGGGCTGAGCAAAGCGGTAACATAGCCAAACGACGGTTTGCTAGGATGGTGGAAAAATGTGAGAGGCTTATCATGGCATATTGGGAGGCTTGAGAAACAAGTGGTAGGTAGCGCGACATAGCGATAGCATCGAGACAACTAGCATAGCAAAGATAGTAGTGAGATCCAAGGTGACGTTCATCTTGCCTGAAATCCCGCTAGAAAGAAGACCGAATCCATGAAGTAGACGGACCAACATAGTCGAGCGGATCCTCAAAATCGCAACATACCGCGGAATTATCGAGAAGAAGCAACACCGGAAAGAACCAGACAACACGGTGAACCAACAAGCATAAACATGACATGATGCACAACAAAGTATGATGCATGTCCATTTAAATAAGGCATGACATGGCAAGTGCAATAAACAATACTACAAGTTAAGTGGAGCTCAATATGCAACGGGTTGCATATTGGAGACACACCACATTTAATTATTTAGTTAACTCTCGTTTATGTACTCAACAATATTAAATGTTGGTTAACATGGCAAGAAGTGAGCCATAAGTAAACTACACATTTTAGGCAATTTAAATGAGGCCGGAAATAACAAACAACAATTCCGGAAAAGCCCCATATGCATATTGGAATTTAATGCAAACAACAATTTTAAACATTTTAAATATTGTTATCATGATGCAGATGACACATGCAAGTTATATGCAAATTTTATGAAAAAGGTGATATGGGCATGTTATGAAGCATTTGGTCACCATGGCGGAACGAAAGGAGTGCCACGGCAACGACAATGGAAATGGTGCCACAACAACATTTTGATGATCCGACAACTCATTAAGATACCGGTGCAAAAGAGCAAGTGTGCAGATGTGCGGAACATGCTAGACATGTTGGGGTGATCCCGGCTACCGGGTTCCCATGAGTTGACGGCATGGCAAATGAGGAGGAACGTGCAACGTACAATTTGGTTATGAGCATCGCATACAACATGCATTCGTTCTCAAAAGGTCATCTCGGCGGTTATACCTTTGAAGCATGCATTTTGAGGCGGAACGAGTTCAATACGGTGTAGACGGAAGTAGTGGTACACAGCATCGGTAGAGGTACTCGTTGGTAGTCGTACATGTTTGGAGAGGAACTTGGCGTTACTCTGTGTTCGATAGTCGTCAAACTTGTCATCAACGACAACAACAAGAGTAGGTGCACGTGAAGGAAATATGCCCTAGAGCCAATAATAAAGTTGTTATTTATATTTCCTTATATCATGATAAAT